GGTTCAAGTAATTCTCCTGCCTCAACCTCCTGAGTAGCTGGGACTACAGGCACGCGCCACCATGCCCAACTAATTTTTTGTATTTTTAGTAGAGATGGGGTTTCACCATGTTGGCGAGGCTGATCTCAAACTCCTGACCCGTGATCCACCTGTCTCAGCCTCCCAAAGTGCTGGGATTACAGGTGTGAGCCACTGCGCCTGGCCCAAACTCTACACTTTCTTTTCTGAGACGGAGTCTCACTCTGTCACCCAGACTCGAGTCCAATGGCCCCCTCTCGGCTCACTGCAACCTCTGTCTCTAGGGTTCAAGCGATTCTCCTGCCTTAGCTTCTCGAGTAGCTGGGATTACAGGCACCCACCACCATGCCAAGCTAATTTTTTGTATTTTTTAGTGGAGACAGCTTTTACCATGCTGGCCAGGCTGGCCTCAAACTCCCAACGTCAGGTGATCCACCTGCCTTGGCCTCCCAAAGTGCTGGGGTTACAGGTGTCAGCCATCACACCTGGCCTGATTGATCTTTATTGGACAACTGCTTTGACTGGGAACCCTCCTAAGCCTCACGGGGGCGACAAAGACCAAAATATCAAACTATCTCGCCCACTTTAGGACCTGGGAAAAGTAGGTAGGGACTACTGTGTTTCCTCTAATCTACAAAAACTCAGTTTCGAAGACTCGTTCAGCCTCACTAAGGAAACTTATGTAACTCATGACTACAATTTGGAAGAGGGAGACCTTTTGGTTTCTCAAATTCAGCACTAACATGTCATAGATAAGGAAACTGAGGACCAGAGAGGTTGAATGGAATGATAGCGGCTAGACATGGTAGCTCACGTCTGTCATCCTGGCACTTTGGAAGGTCAAGGTGGGAGGATTGCTTGAATCCAGGAGTTCAAGACCAGCCTGGGCAACATGGTGAAGCCCTGTCTCTACAAAAAAAAAAAAAAAATTACAAAACTTAGCTGGGCATGATGGCATAAGCACTTGTAGTCCAAGTTACTCAGGAGGCTGAGGTGGGAGGATCACTTGAGCCAAAGAGTTTGAGGCTGCAGTGAGCTATGATTGTGCCACTGCGCTCCAGCATGGGTGACAAAACAAGACTCTGTCTCAAAAAAAAGAAAAGTTGGTCACTGTGAGTGGATGGCAGAGTCAGGATTGGAACACAAAGTTCAGGAAGTCTTTACACGTCCTCATCTAAGTATCTTGATTTTTAGGGAATTGTGGCTGTGGCCCTTCAGGGATACAACTGGCGACACTCTGAAGAAAGTAGAGGTTGGGAATGATGAAGCGCTTCCTTGCGGAACATGTTTCCTGATGTGAAACAGAAGCCCCAGAACAGGTGGACTGTGTGGTCTGGACTGGTCAGCCACATGCTGAGAGTCAGTGCTGGCAAATAAAAGTTAGGAAAATGAGAAAGTGGGCCTTTGTTTCTGTTCACCCAGAGCCCTGTGAATTCATGAAAATGCTTCCTTCTTGCTTCAGTGCAGACTGTCTTGAAGGATTAGGATTGTGTGGCAAAAATATCATGTTTTAATAGGCAGCTTAGAAATGACAGGATCCAAGCCGGGCGCGGTGGCTCAAGCCTGTAATCCCAGCACTTTGGGAGGCCGAGGCGGGTGGATCACGAGGTCAAGAGATCGAGACCATCCTGGTCAACATGGTGAAACCCCGTCTCTACTAAAACTACAAAAAATTAGCTGGGCATGGTGGCGCGTGCCTGTAATCCCAGCTACTCAGGAGGCTGAGGCAGGAGGATTGCCTGAACCCAGGAGGCGGAGGTTGCGGTGAGCTGAGATCGCGCCATTGCACTCCAGCCTGGGTAACAAGAGCGAAACTCCATCTCAAAAAAAAAAAAAAAAAAAAAAAAAAAAGAAAAAAAAAAAAAAAAAGGAGAAGAAGAAACGAAAAAAAAAAAAAAAAAAAAAAAAAAAAGAAAGAAATGACAGGATCCTATATCTGGTCTGAAAACAATCAGTCCTTTCCATGAGGATCTGAGAGCCACTGGGGGCTTCATTCCCCACCTGGTGGCTCGGTTTGCCCATCTGACCCCAAAAGAAGTCATCCTTTTTTTCCATTTTATTTATTTATTTAGACAAGGGCTTGTTCTGTCACTCAGACTGGAGTGCAGTGGTATGTTCGTGACTCAATGCAGCCTCTACCTCCTGGGTTCAAGGGATCTTCCCATTTCTCAGCCTCCTGAGTAACTGGGACTACTATTAGTGTGTACCACCATGACCAGCTAATGTTTATATTCTTTGTAGAGACAGTTTTGCCATTTTGCCTAGGCTGGTCTTGAACTCTTGGGCACAAGCAGTCCTCCTGCCTTGACTTCCCAGTATGCTGGAATTACAGGTGTGAGCCACCATGCCTAACCTCATTTTATTTTTATATATTGAGACATAAGTTACAGAGATTAATGTACACAAGTCTTAAGGTTACAGATCAGTGAATTTTTGCACAAGTACATCATCATATAGCCAGTACCCAGATTGGGTTAGAGAACATTTTGGCCTCATACCTTCTGTTAGTCATTAGCCCCATGGAGGGTAATCACTGTTCTGACTTCTCCCAAAGATCACTGTGATCCAGTTTCAAACGTCTTATAAATTTAACTTTTTTTTTTTTTTTTTTTTTTTTAGACAGAGGCTTGCTTTGTCGCTGAAATGCAGTCTAGAGGTCTCCCGGGTTCAAGCAATTCTCCTGCCTCAGCCTCCTGAGTAGCTGGGATTGCAGGTGCCCACCACCGCACCCAGCTAATTTTTGTATTTTTAGTAGAGACAGGGTTTCACCATCTTGGACAGGCTGGCCTTGAACTCCTGACCTCATGATCCACCCGCTTTGGCCTCCCATAGTGCTGGAATTACAAGCATGAGCCACCGCACTGGCCACGAACTATTCATTTTTCAGGGCAACTGAGCACAGACAATGTACCAAGCAAGAGACGATGCTGGTGGAGATATCTACAAGTACCTGACTAAAGAACTTGGACTTTGTGCCAGAGGCACTGGGGCATCATGGGAGGGTTCTGAGCTGCAGGGGAACACCATTTGGTGAGAGCATTAGGATTCCTCTAGAAAGAATGGCCTAAAAGCCACACAGGAGAGGAGCTGCAGGGGTGCCTCACTCTGCCTGGGAGATGGAGGTAGGCAGAAGTCAAAAGTGGCTTTCCAGAGGAAATAAGTCCTGAAAAAAAAAAAATGAACAAGTTACACAAGAATGGTTACTTGGCCGGGTGCGGTGGCTCAGGCCTGTAATCATAGCACTTAGGGAGGGTGAGGTGGGAACATCATAAGCTCAGGAGTTAGAGACCATCCTGGCCAATATGGTGAAACCATCTCTACTAGAAACACAAAAATTAGCTGGGCGTGGTGGTGCACACCTGTAATCCCAGCTACTCAGGGGGCTGAGGCCGGAGAATCACTGGAACCCAGGAGGCAGAGGTTGCAGTGAACAGAAATGGCGACGCTGCACTCCAGCCTGGGCAAAAGAGCAAGACTCCATCTAAAACAAAAACAAAAACAAAAACGGTTAAATGAGGCTGCTGGAACAGTCCAACGCTTAGCACCTGGACATGTGAAAGGGTAAGGGTAGAGCACAAAGTCGTGAGAGGTGAGGCTGGACCGTTCCGCCAACACTACCTCATGAATGCCCTCAAATGCCAGACTGAGAAATTGATTTTATTTTATTTTATTTTTTGTCTTGAGTCAAGAGGAAGCAGCAGAAGAGATTAGAGCTGGGAAAAGCACAGGTTTTAGAAAGCGTTTTAGAAAGATCTGTCTGTGGCCGGGTCCGGTGGCTCACGTCTGTAATCCCAGCACTTTGGGAGGCTGAGGAGGGCGGATCATTTGAGATCAAGAGTTAGAGGCCCGCATGGCCAACATGGTGAAACCCCGTCTTTACTAAACACACACACACACACACACACACACACACACACACACGCCGGACGTGGTGGCGCACGCCCGTAGTCCCAGCTACTAAGGAGGCTGAGGCAGGAGAATCGCTTGAAGCCGGGAGGCGGAGGTTGCAGTGAGCCCGAGATTGCGCCATTGCACTCTCGAGCTCAGAGACTACAGAGCAAGACTCCTGGGCTACAGAGCAAGACTCCATCTCAAAACAAAGATCTGTCTGCTGTCTGCGTGTGTTAAGCGGCTGCGTTGGGAGCCGAGAGACTAGGGAGGAGGCTGGGCTGATGCTGTGACCCAGATGAGGACAAATGCGGTCTGAGCTAGAGACGTGGCTTTGTAGATGGAGAGACCTCGAGAGTGATTACATGGGGAATCCTTGGAGATGGAGAGACTTCGAGAGTGATTACATGGGGAATCCTCAGATCTCTCTCTCTCTCTTTTAATGAACAAGTGCCTGGTTTTAATTCCCTGATGAACTTCAGCGCTGCAGAAAGAATTTCGGCGTGGGAAACTAGCACCCGTTCCCAGGTGCCCCATATTTTCTGTGCAAAGGCATTATGCTTGGTCCTTTCATACACGGTTTTATTTCATCACCCTGAGAGGTAACAGAATCACTCCTGTTTTACAAGTGACCAATATGAAGCCGACTGAGAGTTCACAGCTCTAGGGCACGCTGGTAGCATTGGACTGAGACTAACGTCCTCCCAACACGCCAGCATCTCTCAACCCAAGCAGATCCGTTTTCCGTTCCCGCCTTCGGAGGCCAGCTGCCCGCCCCACACCGCACCTTGCTCGAGACGGCCCGTCTAGCCGCCCCGCGTCTCTAGGGTTTTCCCTTCTTGCCCATCTACCCGCAGGCTTCCTCTCGTCTCCCCGCCCACGCTGGCCCCTCTACGCGCTCACCTCTCTATGGTTCCGCCCCCCTCTCCCCAGGCCCAACCCTCCTGCTTGTTACATCCGCTCTTTCTCCAAGCTCCTCCACGCTGGGGCTGGCGGATCCTGCTCGGGTTGGGTCAGCTATTCGGGCTGCCTCTCTGGTCCAGCCCAGCATAAACGGTGGCCAGTGAGATTGCTTTTAGGGAAGGCCCGAGCCATGACTTCTAGGGGAAGTCCCTGGGAAGCAGGGTCGTGTTTTGGGTCCTTTGCGAATACGTTCCGGCTGGAAACACAAGGCTCCGAGAGGAAGGAGCCGCTCTCCCCTGGGACCTACCCCACCCCCTTCAATACGTGGGATTCCTCCCCGCCCCGCCCCACCAATTTTCCAAAAGATCACCCTCCTCAGAGGGGCTTCCTGACCCTTGTTCATTTTTGTTCTGACAGCGCTGGGACCAACAGGGAGATCAGGAAGTGCCCATCTCACAACATAGACGAAAACATGAGGCCCAGGGAGGAACTCGCTCGGAACGAGTCAGCCTGGAGCCAGTTGGGGTTCCCGAGTCTCTGTCCTGGAAAATTCCGCGTTTTTCTGTATGAAGATAGGCAGAGCAGATAGCGACAAGAAGGATCCTAAGAGAGGCGTGGAGGGCACCGGCAATCAGGTTCCAAGTCGGAGTCCTGTCTTGCCTATCAGGATTCCCTCTTTGGGTAGGAATGCGGATATTACTCTTCCCCTTAAAAGTAGTTAAACATAGCTGTTCAGGTGGATTTACCACAAAGCTAATAAAGCTTAAGCTTCAGAGGCTCCTCGCGGGGACAAGTACTTCCCTACGTAATAAGTGCCAACAATTCCAAGTGTTTAAGATTAGTCATTGCTCAAAAAAGTTTCCCATGCCCTCTAAACTTAAATTCATACCTGAAAGAAACGTGATTATGATTTTCCTAAACTTGACAATACTGAAACTACAACTGTCGTGAATCTATCTGAAACAAAACTTTCTTAAACTGTAAATTGTTGTGGTGTGAACAGACCGAAGGATGTAGGGAGGAAAGTATCATACAGCTGTGGAAGGCCTGTAATCCCATCACTTTAAGAGGCCAAGGCAGGTGGATCACCTGAGGTCAGGAGTTCGAGACAAGCCTGGCCAACATGGTAAAACCCTGTCTCTACTAAAAAAAAATATTAGCCGGGCCCATGTGGTGGCGCATGCCTGTAATCCCAGCTACTCGGGAGGCTGAGCCAGGAGAATCACTTGAACCCAGGAGGTGGGTGCAGTGACACAATCTCAGCTCACTGCACTCCAGCCTGGCAACAGAGTGAGACTCCGTATCAAAAA